AGGGGGAACACGTGTGTGTTTGTTTTGGCAGAATTTCGAATGGGGCACCCGTAGGTTTCTGCCATGCCCCGGGGGTGGGGGATGGCAGCACTTGCTCTCCGGTCACCGCGACTTGTCCGGAGAAAAATGCCGCCCGGTGGCCGAGGATCGAACCGCGACCGGCTGCGTCGCAGCGGAAGAGTCAGACCACTCGGTCACCTCGTCCCCCGTTATGGTTTTTAAGAGGACTCTACACTCGCATATGTTGTCTCTGTCTTACAAATGTACAACATATAGCAAAAACGGTTTTGCGCAGGATAGAACCACTCAGCTTGTAGTCCTAGTAGAGATTAGTAGAAGATAATATTTTCTGTGTCGTAGCGTTTTTATTTGTTTGATAGACTTATCAAACTATTGTGAAACAAAAATCAAATTAATTTTTTTTCTTTTTGTTTAAATATATCACCGGTTGTACAAAATCTTCACAGTTCACATTAGTGTTAAATATTAATATACTATCCAACTTAGACTTGTTGATAGGACCTATTAGTTATTACTTATTATTATTTTTATAGAAACTAGTATGTTGAATTAACAGAAAAATTATTATGTATTAGGTATCTACCTATGTTTGTGATTTTTCACATTTTTTTACAGAAGTATAATATCTATTAACAACATTCAACATATTAACAATTTCGATCCCAATAGTCTTCTCAGGGGCCAAACATTATTTTGCTTTTGTTATCTACTGAGTGATCAATGGGGCTCCGATTTTCTAGCAAAATTATTTTAAGTGGCCAAAAAAAGCAAAAAAAGCATTTATCAAATTTAATTCTAAAAACAAATTTCAATTACACATAAAATTAAATATTAAAAAAGGAATTTACGACCATATATTTAGTCACGTTCCTTTCATCAAAACTCATACTAATAGGTGCTAATATAATTTTAATTTTTAATTTTTAACTTTTGGCATTTTGACAATTATAGAGAGCACTATACCTCACCGATTGTCGATTGATATTTACCAGTCAACTTAAGTATTGGAACGCGCTATAAAAATACGCAGGTATAATCCAGATAATTTTCACTTTCCCTGAGTGGTAAATACAACTATAATTAATAGTTGTAGATAAAACTATTTTGGCACAATAACCATCGTTATTTTATCAGTCATACATTAATTACTTGTTTTTTCACTGGTTTTATAATTTCTGGTAATATTAATTTAGTCCAAGTATAATATACATAGAAATATGTTAAATTTTCAGGAAAAATGTATAAAAAATGTAGAAAAAAGAACCAAATAGGGGAATTGCAATAAAAAGAGGTTTTGTGGAAAAAAGCAAAAAAAAACAAAACAAAGTTTACTTCATTAAAATCGGAACAATTCAAAACGTATTTATATATAAGAATTATCTTTCTATCATACTTCCCCCCCCCCCCCCCCAAAAAAAAAAAGAAGCATTTGCTACAAAATTCGAGCCCTAGTGATCAATTATCATCATAGAAAAGTGTAGCCAACACCAAAATATGCATATTTTGGTTCAATGCTTAATCATACTGTATATAATTTAAGGTTTACCACAACATAGAAAAAAACATTTTTTGTCATCAACAATATTCTTTCCGATAAAAATCAAAAACCATAAACAATTATTATGACAAAAAATTAAATCTTGATAAAACTCTAAGAAAAATAGCTTTTTACTAAAATTCGGTATTTCTATCAGATTAAATCTAGGTCTGAATAATAATAATTTTATAATTAATTATTACACACGTAAGTAAGAACATGAAAATGCAAAGCTTTTTCCAAAAATATGGAACATAAGTATAATAATTTTACCAAAGCCGGTTTATTTGAGGAAACGGCACATGCCTATTTTGATTACAACTATCAATGCCTTTGAGCCTCCTCTCCTCATAGCATGACCGAACCATCTCAATGTATTCGCCCTCATTTTGTCTATAATTGGTGCCACTTCTATACACTACACTATGCCTAAATGATAATGATAAATAATTAAGTAATTCAAATAATCTACATACTACGTGACTATGACTATAACAACTATTTTTTCGTATTTTTATTGATCTTAATAATCACATTTAATTTTAATTTCTATGAGGCCATTAATTACAATTTTAATTTAGATTTCATAAAAGTATTTTAATTAACCGTTATGATATATATAACCAAAATAACTAAATACTTCCATGCACATTAATTTTAAAAAAAATGGTGACCTTTATATGTCGGCACGTTTCATTTAATACCAGCTGGTATGCATTTACTTTGAATAAAACCGTTTCCGACAATCGTAACTATATGTACCTGCCTGCACCTTATATCCTATACTGATAAAATTGTACCTGAGCGACCGTACTTTCGTTGCACGCCAGAACTCTAGGTACTCAAACTACTTCAACATTTCAGCTGGAGTCCTCCCAAGTCAGTGACATTCAGTACACAAGACATTCCCAAAACTTTTTTTACTGAACTCGGTTCCTATGCGGACGACACGGCAATTGAAGTTTCCAGTATGATACAAAGACACCTCAACATAATTTACCTTTGGACAAAAATATGGAAAATCAAAATTAATGAATCTAAGTCCTCATTCATAACATTCACCCTAAAAAAAAGAACATGCTCCCAAGTCACAATGAACAACGTTCCAATCCCTATTTGTTCTGAAGTTAAATACCCCAGTCTCGTCCTTGACAAAAACTAACCTGGAGTTCTCACCTAAAAAATAAACGAAAAACCCTTAACACCCGTCTTTCACCTCCTTAGACCCATACTTAAATCTAAAATGAATATCAACTCCAAATTACTGATGTAGAAGTTCTTACTCGGGGCGCTATGGATCTACAGTGTTCAATTATGGGAAGCCGCTAAGCCTTCCGACAACCTACCTATCTCAGCCATTCAATATGCCTTCGTCTAGTTTCTTCTGCACCCTGGTACAAAGTCACAAAGATCTTAAAATCCAGAACCTTCACCAAATCCCTAAATTATACTACACTGCATTTCACAATAAACTTCAAACACACACAAACCCACTAATCACACAACTGTCAACTAACACATTTTCAAACAACCTGCCCCGTAGACTGAAACGAAAATAGTGTAGAGATCTTCTTCTTTAGTACGTGAATAAAATAAGTGGTAGGTGTTCCTAACCAGGTAAACCTTTCAAATTTAAAAACTTCACTGTTATTATTGTCACTTTATAGAATATTACCACTGGGTAACCTCCCTAATCTTAAGATTCAAGTTAACTATTTTCTATATCACTTATCAAATCTACTTATTGCACGAAAAATGTATAGATTGTAGTTTTATTTCAATAAAATAAAAAAATTAAACAACTATGTACCTAAGTACAGTAATTGTGGACAGTAAATTAATATCTAAAATTCTAAATATCGCAACAGACAATAATCCTTACTACGTATCTATAATAGATTCTATACTATAGAGTAACAACGGGAATATAATGCGTTATACACTTATGTTTTGAAACCTACCTATAACTATAATTTATTATCTATTATAACTGATTCATTACTTTTCGGTCTTATAAATGGTTAATTTAATATTAAATAACAGTTAAACGTTTATTTTTGATTGATTAACCTCTTAGCGATACTAATTTCATTAATGATAAACCTCATTATCTATACATTTTTAATCATTAATATTATGTAATGTAACAGATCCTATTTTAAAATTTACTATTGGTTATAAATATTACTCAGTTTATTTAATAATCAATGCTATTGCGTATACGTGTATAACGTTTGCTACATTTTAATGAAAAATAATAACATATAATATTATATAAGTGTTATTTTAAATCTGATAAAATGTATTCATTCTATACTTTAAATAATTTTTGGTTATGTAACTTAATAATAATAATAATTTATGATATATCTCAGATAATAGTAACTTATCTTAATAGTGTTATTGCTCAACAATAGTATATTAGTAACAATTGTATATTTAAGATTATGATTAAGAAGCAATAAATATTTATTATGTATGTTTATTTTTCGTCTATGTGATCATGTACACCTTTCAATTAATGATTAATGGAAGCAAATTGGATCCAGGTATTACTTTTAGGAGGGAGGGATTAAAATTTAAAATTTACAGTACTAATCAGGAAAAAAAAATATGGAAAACAGAAATAATTATGCAACTGTACAGCAACTATTGAAAAAAATGGAATTTTATTATTTTGTTTCATTATTGATTCAAAACAAATTTCCAAAGACAGGGACTTAAAATTGTACCAAATGTTGAAATTAGCTCTAGCAGTGGGATATTGAGACTTTTCACGGAGGGCCGTGGCTATCGGCTGATAGTGGGCATCGAATGATTCATACAAATAAGAATTTAGAATTTAGAGGTATTCACAGTTATGGTTGTAAAGAAAAATATAGGTACTGAATACAATTGTTATTGAAGATATTATTGACATCGATAAAAATAAAAATAATTTATTAGAGAAAAATGAAAACTATGTAAAGTATATAAATGTATATTATAACCTAAGAACATTTTTTCATAAATGTTATATTATATTTGATTTTTAATAATTAATGTATTAAGTTATTTTCTTTAGTAATTACTAATTTATGGGAACATATTCTATAATTTTTAACAAAATTCGTAAAAATCACCAAAACTTTCAAATTGTTTTGTTGTGAAAAGTCATCAACCTGTTCATACCATTAAACTACATTTGGTATACCGTTAGGTACATCATCTGAATAATCGAAAATTCATAAAACTAAAAAAATATGCCTGTGCGAATGAAGCTTTTTTCCAAAGGATACGAAAAAAACAAGGTTATCGACCGTCACGGTTAAAATCACAGTCAAATATTAGTTTTTTATTGCAATAAAATAAATGAAATTTTCAATTAAAATTAATTTGTTATTATTATTATTATTATTATTATACAAATATAAGACAAGGATTATTAATTATGACCATATAGAAACCATGGTATCGTGACGGGCGATAAACTTTTTTTTCGTATTATCTCAATAATATATTAATATCTTACCATATTGTGCATATCAATATTATTTTTCCACTATATTTTATAATTAAAAGATGAAAATTAAGATGACAAGCAAAAGTACGTCGGACAATGGTCGAAAAACCATACAAGCTGGCCAAAATAAATAATTGAAACTATGATATTTATGTAAGTATACAATATTATCATTGTAAGAGTTTTTTATTGATATTAAAATATAAGTACCAACATTAAAATTGATTTTATTGATCATTATTCTGAAACTAATTCTGGTTCTTTATCACTGCAATAAATTTATCTCTAGCAATAAATGTTAGACTTCTGTAAGCAGTTTTAGATTCTGAGTGGATAGATTAATGAACTAATTAATAAGTTTTTAAAAATTAGTACAAGATTTCTTCAAATTTTCCTACACTTCACAAAAAAAAAAACGTTTACTGGAAAGTCAAATTAATTTTCTACTCGAGTCTGAAGTTAGACATAGATCATTGACCCGTAAATTAACAAATTCTCATACAACGATCGTCTTATTTTGTTGTTATTCAAAAAAATAATGACTGTAGATTCTTGATATTTACATGAAACGTTAATTTTATCATTTTCTTTGCATAATACAATTTTCAAAGTATTTCGACTCATTTTGAGTTATTCATAGACATTTGACATTTTTTTTGAGTTTTTATTATATAAATGACAACAAAATTGTATTCATTGGGTCAAAAAGCTTGAAAATTATAATACAAGGTTCATCATACATTATGTCATTATTACAATATCAATTTTAAAATACATTAACACGATTTTTTTTATTTATAAGCGATTAAAGTTCAAATTTTGACAAAATTTATAAAATTGAAAATTTACAAATTATTTTGTAGTTAAAAAATTGTACTGAGACTTCTAAATTATACAAATATGATAATATGCAAATAATATTTATTCAATTAATTGAACTAATAATAAAAATATAAGTATCCAATATTATAATATCATTGAATTCATTTTTTTTTTAGAACTTCTAGTAGAAATTATTACCATGTTTCATCAATTAAAACAGAACTGGGTTCACATTTACATAACACAAATATTAGGTCATCATTATTTATTTGATTACTATGTTTTTACACATTTTCAGTTCTGGTTTGCGTAATAGTTTAAAGTTTTGATAATATATTTTTTAATCTTTTCTGAGTAACATTACTTTATTATAAATGTTTAAATTAGATTCCCCCACTATTTTCATAGTTGTTGTAAAAAATAAGGAAGTATGAAAATATAAAATGGCACATGAAGAATTAATTAATTGTATTAAAAATAAATAGTTGATCGACGGTTATATACTCCTATCTCTTATAAGTTTTGGCTGCAGATCTAAGACTCAATCAAGCCATTTTGATAAAATGTTTCAATAAGACTACGGACACGCACGCGCTATAAAAAAAGGTAAAAATTAATAACTGGTCGAATTTTTCCACAAAAAAATCTATAACTACCTACCTATACGGGTACCTTTATAACCTTTGTACCTACCTACCTATACGAGTTTTAAGTTAACCTACTTTCATTCTTTATTGTGTAGGTATTAATAAAATATAAACGGGGACATTTTACATTTTTTATTTTTTGGAATTTAAAAAACTGTTGATAAAGTACTGTAGATACTTGAAATTTACACCAAAAGTCTATTACATCGTTTCCTATTCTCGACGAAAATTTTTTGACTTGTTTTAAGATGTTTACCGACATTTTCGGGTTTCAATTTTAGATAAAGAGCGGAATGATAATGTATTGATTTCACAACAATGAGTGTTTTTTTTTTTTTTTCTGCCTTCACCTTTTGGGACAGTAAAAGTGCTTCGATTTTCTTCAACAGCGTCTTTTCTGGAAGGAAAGTAAATCTAGTTAGCACTTTGGGAGGGGGGGAGGTCAAAAGTATTAAATTTCCAATAGTTTTCAAAAGCGACAGGAAAAATAAACAAAAAATTAAAGAAAAAAGGGACTTTTTACGGAAATTCGGTTTTCGACAAAATCATATTTGGTTTTTGATGTAACTCTAAAAAAAATACCTTAGATACATGAAATATTCACTAAATTTTTATATCAGCATTTTTTATACAGCATAAAATTTTCTATTTTGACACTTGTTGAACCATTTATAAGTAAATGAATTTTTCAATTATTATTAGTTTTTTTTAAACTTATGTCGAAAAAAAAATTTTTGCTCCGTCAAAAAACTTGAAAATGTAATACAAGGTTCCTCTTAGGTTGTTATTAGTGGAAATAAAAAAATATGGGTAAATCTACAATATTTTTTTATTAGAGTTTGAATTTGGAATTTTGGCAAAATCACAAATATCTATTTGAAAATTATTTTGAGTAAGAAATTTAAAAAAAATTTTCTTGTTACTTCAAACAATTTGAAATTGAATAAGAGTTTCCTTAAAAGTTTTTCAACATTTATCAAAAAAAAAAATTTTACGTAGTTGAAATTTTTACAACATTGGATATTCACTCGATTTTCTTATTTAGTTGTAATTCAAAAACGAATAACTGTAGATGCTTGAAAATTACACCATATATTTATTTGATAAATTCATATACTTGATAAAATTTCATAATCAAATTTAAAATGTACAAATTATTTCGTTGTAAAATATTTATAAAATATTCCACTTCAATAATTAAAGATCAAAAATGTAAAACAAAGTTGCACACAAATAGTTTATTTTGAAACCAAAATATCCAAAAATAAATAAAACCCAGTTTTTTTATACTTATGATATTATGTTCAAATTTGGACGAAATTACGTATTACTGTTAATAACCAAGAATAATAATTTAAGTTATTTTGATGTAATTTTAAAATATTATTCGAGGGTATCTACATGAAACTTTTAAAGTATATTATTATATTTTATACACACAATGACTTTTTAAATGTAATTTTTTTGGTAAAAATGAATTTAACCTACAGTAGTATTAATGCTTAATACTAAAATTAATTACTTTAATCGCAATAAGATCATCAACACACTAAATTATTAAGTAATATTTAAACTGAAAAACCATCATCGCTCAGAATCACTAATTTTCTTATAATTGAATTCAAATTTAACACTATCCATTATATTGACCAACTTGTAACCTCTTGTACAGCAGAGCGACATCCATTTATCAGCTTTTTTTAGTTTTTTTTCTCTAAATATCAATAATAGTAATACAATTTCATTCAGTCAAAGAGTTTGAAAATTCCTGATATATTATTACAACAGTAGTTGAAAAATATTAAAAATACATAGACACGTTTTTTGTACAGGCATTTAAAGTTTAAATGTTGACAACATTTATTAAATTTAAAATGTCAAATTATTTTTAATCATTTTATTTTTAATTATTATACCCAACTAAGGATTGAACATTTAAAACAAGGTTCCACGTAAGTAGATTATTCTTTGACAAAAAAAATCTAGAAAATATATAAGCACGGTGTTTTTATATTTTTGTTTTATGTTCAAATTTGGACTAAATTACATGTTAAATAATGAAGAATAATGATTTAAACTATTGCATGTAATATCGAAAAATAAAAACAACGTTGCACAGTTAATGTTCCTCTCTTTATAGTATGAAAATTTAGTTTTTTCGCTTGGACGACAACCTGATTTTTTATTAGTTATTACTCACGAAAAACAGTTTTTTCTGTTTTAAATATTTTGTAATACAAATATAAATAGATACAATAAGTCCTCGTTTAACGTTGCCTTATTTAAGACTTTTAAGCATTTTTGCTAACAATGCAACAATTTCAGTATACCATCTTTTTTAATATCAGACAGTATACATTATGATTTAATTTTAATCGACATTGCTTGTAATTCATACGCACTTATAAAATTCAAAAGGTTTTTTATCATTGAATTCAAATAAAACATATCCATTATATAATGACATACTCTACAACTACTGTAGGTACAGCAGAACGGTACAGAAAAATAGTAATTTAATACATTTGTTTGCCCCCCCCCCCCCCGGTTGCACCACTGGCTTGAGCGGACTTATTCCTCCCAAAAGTTATAAGTTTGATATACAATTATTTCTTATTACATTTTAATAAATAAAAAATATATAATACAAAAATAATTGGTCTTTCCAATTAATAAGTATTCTATTATAAAAAATAAAACTATTAACAATACAAAACATATTTATTTTTATTTTATCACACTATTTATGAAACGTACCTAAAATATAATACAACATCCTGCATCAGTTCTTCTTTAACCAAACTAAAAATATCAAAAATATAAGTACAGTGTTTGTTTATAGATATTAATTCAAGTTTAAATTGTTCTGCAATTAGATATTTAAACAAAAAATAACAATTTTAGCCATTTTGTTGTAATTCAAAAATTATTATTTATAAAGACTTGAAACTTTACCTCTATAACGTACATTATGATTAATAACACTTAAAGAAACTTTCAAGATATTTAGACTAAGTTTAAGAAATGTATACAGTATAGTGAAGTTTCCTTGTTTCCTAATTTGCCAAGCCGTAGTTTAAATAAATCATTTAATAGTTTTGTATCACTCAACGTAGCCACTATTTTTTTTTATTTCAAATTTTGAGCTTATTTTGTTTTACAATCATGTATGCTTTTTTTCAAAACGAATTTGAAAATAAATTAAATATGTAGCCTTTATTTTAAATTCGATTAATCAATATATTAAATACACACATTTATAATAATTAATTTTAATTACAGTTTGCATCGTGTTTAATTATTGTTATTTAAGTGCCCTGCTGATATAAACTCGATAGTTATACCACGAACCTATTCTTATACCGTTCTTTCGTATGTCGGTGTTGACGTGTGTGTTAATAACAGCTATATTATATAACAATAGGTTATACGTACATCATGTTACTGTTGTGTGATTAGTTTTTAGTAAAAATTAGTTCAACCTTCAACCTATCATACAATTAATAGATAGTAAATTACTGAGAAGTATTAACAATAATAACAATATAAATAAATAAACAAAAAGATAAATAAAAAATACTTATTACTGTCTTCTTGCCGCATAACAATTTTTTTATCACACGATCGCATATTAATAATAAACGTTCCTAAAAGTCTAAAAAATGTCTTAAATAATAAAGGAAAATATATTTCTAATTAACAACATAATTATTATTACCTTCTATCTGACTTGTGTTCTTATAAAATTAAACAAAGTTAAGGAAACGTGGAGCAAACAGTATGGTGTAGACTTCAACAAATAAAAACTAGTGCTATTATAACTCACACATATACGTTAAACCTCATTCTGTATATATAAATTACCTTTGAATGTTATGTTTTAAAGAACCACCGACGAGTATACACTTAAATACTTTGGTATTCGTACCATTCATAAGCTATTATTACTGCAAATAAATAATATTACATACCATTAGCTTTTTTTAAATATTTTATTTCATTCAAAAATGTACTACTAACTTTTAAGTTAAACAGCTCTATTTATAAGTTATAACACATTATACAACTAAACCAAACTAAGTTCTAACGGAAAAATATATATGGCGTTATGTACCTCAAAGTTCAATATAAAATAAGTGTTTTTGACCGGTCAACAACAAGCATGGAGTTGATAGTCACCTACTATACTTACTAGTTATCGGTTAACTATGCGTCTGTACCTATACCTGCCATAACATAAACGTCTACTACATAATTATAAAATCAATATATATATGTGAATTGACGTAGGTAACTATTGTATAATGCAAACTAACGAAGCCAAACTATGTACATTATACAAATCTGTGATTAAACATGCGGTTATTCTGAAACTACAATTTTAAATTATTATCACATCTCCATTATGTAACTATTTATGAAATATTAACTAATCAGTAATCAATATATAAAATATATTTTTAATTTGAATGAAAATTGATTAAGAAAACTGTATATTACCTATATCTATAAGTAAATTTTTTTTAATAGCATTAATATTGATGATTATTGTATTTTTTACTATGTTATAGGTGATATTGACAAAATGGTGGTTAAAATTATCATCATCGGGGCTGGAGTTGGTGGTACAGCAGCAGCTGCTAGACTTAGCAAAAAAGGATTTCAAGTAGAAATTTATGAAAAAAATTCATATAATGGTGGAAGATGTTCACTCATTTATCAAAATGGACATCGATTTGATCAAGGTCCATCATTGTATCTAATGCCCAAAATATTTGAAGAGACATTAGAAGATTTAGGGGAGGACATTAAAAATCACATAGAGTTATTGAAGTGTTCTACTAATTATAATGTACATTTTCACGATGGAGAAACGTTCGAACTCACCACAGATATATCAAAATTATCTCGTTCTTTGGAAAAATATGAAGGCAGTGATGAATCGACATTAATTAATTTTTTGAGCTATTTAAAGGAAACTCATATACACTATCAAAGAGGCGTTAAAGTTGCACTCAAAACCGATTTTCAACATTGGTATGATTTATTCAATCCAAAATATATACCAGACATAATCCAACTGCATCTACTGGACACTGTTTATAACAGAGTTTGTAAGTATTTCAAGAGCGACTACATGAGAAAAGCGTTTTCATTCCAGACTATGTACTTGGGGTAAATAGAAAAATGTTAGTTTATAATAAATTTTAAATAAAACAAAAATTTTTTTTTATGTTTTTAGAATGTCTCCATATAGTGGCTTAGCTGCCTATAGCTTGCTGCAGTACACTGAAATAGCAGAAGGGATTTGGTATCCGAAAGGAGGCTTCAATACAGTTTTACAAAGTCTTGAAAACATTGCTGTAAAACATGGGGCAAAATTCCACTATAATGCAGATGTCCAAAAAATAATAGTTGATGACAAAGGAGTGGCAAAAGGAATCAAATTGGTAAATGGTGATGTAGTAAATAGTGACATTGTAATTTGTAATGCAGATCTCGTATATGCGTACAACAAACTTTTACCAAAAACATCATACGCTAAAAAACTCGGCAAAAAAGAACTCACTTCATCTTCTATATCATTTTATTGGTCCATGAAAACAATTGTGCCACAATTGAAAGAACACAACATTTTTTTGGCTGAAAAATATAAACAAAGTTTTGATCAAATATTCAAGGATCATACGTTGCCCGACGAACCATCGTTTTATGTTAACGTGCCAAGTCGCATCGATCCAACAGCAGCACCAGAAGGAAAAGACACAGTCGTGGTCTTAGTACCAGTGGGGCATATAACGAATGTCTCTAATATTGATTTCGATCAACTTGTTAAGAAAGCTAGAGAAAATGTAATCGACACAATGGAGAAAAGATTGAAGATATCCAACTTCAGAAATTTGATCGATCATGAGATAGTGAACGATCCTAGAACATGGCAAAACAAATTTAACTTATGGAAAGGTTCTATACTAGGATTATCTCATTCGTTATTTCAAGTTTTATGGTTCAGACCTAGTTTGAAATGTAAAATATTTGAAAACCTGTATTTTGTTGGTGCTTCGGTGCAGCCTGGTACTGGTGTACCAATAGTTTTATGTGGAGCAAAATTACTAGAGAAACAGTTGTGTGATAGGTTCTCGGAGAATACAGTTAAACTAAAATCATATTCGAAGTCCTTTTCATTATTAATCAGTATCCTAGCAATTCTGTTTTTTTGCTTTGTTTCTGAATTTTAAATTTAACCGAGTATGACATTATATTATTTGTATATATTTTAAGCATTATAATTTTCTCATTTTAATGTTCTCAAACATATTTTAAAACTTTAAATTTATAGTATCTATTATAGTAATGACTAATGTGATGATTTAAATAATTAATATTTTTTATTTTAGTAATTTTAGTAATTTTATGTCTAAAAGACAATTGTATATGGTGAAAATAGAGTTACATTGTAAATTTCCATGTAACTGTTTAGTTAGAAATATGAACATAATATAACATTGTTTTAAATAGAAATGGAAAAAAAAGAAAGTTTTAGAACTAAAATAAAGAACAACATATATTTGAATAATTAGTCAGGCATAGAATTCTATGGACTATGGCCTATGAATCCTATGTAGTCCAATGCCATTATAGGTTGGGTAGATACGGCATAAAGCTCATGCCTCGTAGCGCTATAGGGAGAAACACTGAGGGAAAAAGATCGGGAACGTTTATGGAGCCACAGATATTGATGTATTATTTATCGTCTATACTATTATAGAAGTATGTATTTCTTTTTTTATTTGAATGAGTAATAACAGCAAAGATAATAAAGCTTTACTTATTAAAAAGAAGGAGAAAAAAATACATATATAGAAGTAAATATAATTTACATTATACAGTCGTACATACTATAATATGATATTATGAATTATTTATAATACGTTTAAATCTTTTTTATGTGAGTATAGTTGGAATATAATAATATATCATACACGTCATATAATTTATACTATAAATAACAATATATTATGTATACCTATTATTATAATATTATATTATAAATACTAGGTGTCCCGTCTGCTTGTGCCAAATATTTGTTTTTTTTTATAAATATATTTGTAAAAAAATGAATATGCCATACAAAAATAAAAATAATAAATAAATCAATAATGTATAGTATTTACCTATTGTTTTATCATAATTTATTATTATTCTGTACTCGTACCAATTCATAGATCCTTATATTTTAATTTGAAATAATATTCTTTAATTTACCTACTCTCTTAATTGAATACCTAACTTTTTTCGTAAACATAAACAATATAAGTAGCCAGGTAGATATATATTTAGCTAATCCATTCACTCTTAGACTTAAGAGAATATTATACATGTATAATACTATAATGTACTCAGTGCCTAAGATTTCTCAAAATATGTGAATCTAATATTTACAATTTATCCAAGTATAATCACCCCAACGCCTCAAATAAAATTGAAAGGTCTTAAAATGAAACAAAATTGTATATTTTAATTTAAAAAAAAATCTAAATAATACCTAACCTAACGCGAAATTCTTATACTGATGACCTGATGTCAATGTACTTAATGATCAAGAAAAAAAAAATTGTGAAGAAATCTCTTACCGATTACTACTTTTATTTCGATCATTGTAGTTAAATTCATATCAACCATAGCCAATAAATTATAACTATAATTACCATAATTTCAATAATATAGAGCTTCATATTGTGTTTTAATAGTCAAATTAATAGAATACAATTAATTGTGTGATTACTCAGATTACTAGTTATCTATACAAGGTGTGCTGTGCATTACTGTATTCTAAATCAGACTAGAGTTCGATTCCAGAACCACGATAGCCGACTAATTAGTAGGTAATTACTAATAATAATTCTTAACAATAAAATATTAATTTTTGGACGTTGGTTGTATTCGCATCAAGGTTTATCAGCGTTTACCACTAATTGATTTTACGTAATAATAACTATATAAATTCCAACGGCATATAATTTCCATTTTAATTTATAAATATTATATTGTATTATACTAGCTGATCCCGTGCACTTTGTTGCCCTTTAAAAATTCCAACTCTATATGAGACTCGGTGGTGATAATGCGAGCAGTATATCACACCCACCTGCTGCGGATTGCGGACTCCGTTTGATGAGTACTTTATATACTCGTAAATAATATGTTTTATTTAGATTTTGATTGCGGACACGCCGATGAGCGGCTTTAAGTGCAACTCAGCCACCTTGGTAGAGAATGTGCGAAAATTCAACTGTATACGTCATGCTTATACTTGATCTGCCCGATGAACCACTGCAGGCAACCAATAAACAAAAAAAAATACCAATTTCTACAAAATATGTATTTATATTTCTCCTATAACCAATAACAACCGTATATAAATTATAAACAAATATTTGATTCGTAAATCTTAAAATCCCTGTTTGAGCAACTCCCCGGGTCGGACTTATCTTGTCCAGTTGTGAATCTAAACCATCCAAGCGTCACCCAAACTCATAAAAAAAAATCATTCAAAGCGGCCCGGCCGTTTAGGAGGAGTTCAGTGACATACACACGTATAGTAGAATTATATGTATAAAGATATTGTAACCAATGGTAATCTATAACTAACAGCAACTCTCTGATTAAACAAAAATTAAATTTTTTTTTGTGATTGGAAAACTATATTCATGTGTATGCTGCCCTTCTACTAACTATACTGGTTGGAAAATTCTCTATAAACGCCTTCCAAGTGTCACGGAATCTATTGCTATAATTTTTATCTCAATCGGTTTCATTGAAAAAATTACATGTAAAGAAGATATAATATAAATGTATTTAAAATTATTTTCATCCAAATTAAACGATTCTCACTATACCTACATTAAATCTTAAGGGTTTGAAATATTTGAATAGTTTGAAACTGGAGTATTTTTCATTTGAGCATATTTTTATTTTCATACTTTTCCCAAACGTAGCATATTTGTATGATTTAACATTTTTGTAAATTTTTTTATGTTCAATGTTCATTTAGTCTTATCAAAAGAAAACATTTTATACTTATAAAGCTACGTGCGAAAATTTGTCTTAATTAAAATAACTAATACTATTATTTAAAATGTTCACAAACGTCCACAGAATAAAATGATTTACATCGGATTGGTTAAAGGATACTAATGGAAATAATTTCAATTGAAAAGTTAAAATACGATCCATTGAATGGCCAGTAAAATCTCCAGCAATTAATTCACTTGGTTTTTTTATTATACATTTGAAAACAATAGTCTACGCAGATCCACCAGTTAAGTTGGCAGATTTAAAAATAAAATCGTGGTTGCGTGTAACAACCTTACTGAAAATCAAATAATGTCAGCAACTAATAGAGTATGTCTACAACGTTTTCAATCATGCATCAACAATCACGGGGAAAACTTTAAACAATTTATTTAATTCATTGTGTAGTTGTAGAATAACTTACTGTTGTCTGTTGTAATTTTCAATTGATTTTTGATAAATAATTGTATAACTATATTGTGTAAATTTTGTTTATAACACGTAAAAAAATACATGAAAATATTCAAAAAATAACCTATAATAAATAATTAAAACTGGTTTTATGTATTTTAATGAATTGTAAAAATGTATTACTCGTATTTATTAAAACTTAAATTACTATTATTCAGTCAATTTTGGTTTTAGAGCTATGATTAACAGATCAAAATTACTTAAAAAAATCAGTGTATCTGAATTTGGTATCAAAAATACTGGTTGCCATTTACAAAAATGCAATTTGTGTTGCACATGCGCGTGCCGAGAGGGTTAAAAATTTAAAATGACCTTGAAAATGTGTATTTATATACCACTAGCTTGAAAAAAAAATTTATTCCAACATAATCTAGACGAGAAATTCAGTGTTCCCTAAACTGTTGAACACACTGTATTCCTATTAATGCTTAGTTAATAATAATTTATTATGTTAAAAGCAAACCATTTACATTAACACATGCATTATCTAACTAATATCTGCATGGGATTCGATAAATCAAATGAAATAATTTGTTATGTAATAAAAACTATAATGTCTATCATAATAACATCATAATATACATTCAGGGCCTGGTCATAAAATCAAACACAATAATATACAGAATGATTCTTTTAAATACTCATTATCATTTCAGTCTTCAGTATATAAACATCTAATTGAGTAATTAATAAAATATAAGTATTTAATTTAAAATTTTAAAGTTTAGATGAACGAAGTGGAGTGACAAGCGTATACCTCCTCAAAAAATGATTGTCTTCAACTATATACACTCATCTAAACTTAAAGCACTTAATAATAGGCAGGCTATGCCTAAGCCTAACTAATAAACTAACCGTTTAAAATTTGATTTTTGTGTAATTCTCGGTAAAATATTCTGTTCTAGAATATGAAATTGACCATGTGTGATGTCATTAAAAAATAAAAAACGATCAAATGCTAAAGATAAAAAATAGTAAAAATTATAACTGTTTTTCAAAAACATTTTTGATACTTCAAGCGTTCACTTAAAACAGTAATCACCGTGTGTACCTACTCGTTGTACGTGTATAATATAGGTGTAAATAGTCGTATTATAGTTAAGTTTGAACTTGCACTGTGAAACAACGATTGCGAATGACTATAAAAACAAATATACATATCAAGAGGTCATACCTTATACATCTATACACAATATTATGATATCTAGGTACCCATAACAAGTTATAAATCACGTGTAATAATTATTATGAACTAACAATTAAGATTGGAACCAATATTTTAAACGACGTTTTCAAATGTATCCACAGTAACATCGGTATAACTTATAATCATTATTATAATCTGTATGTTTGCATAAATGTGATAATTTAAATCTATTTGCATCAATTTAAAATTGGCATATAAAAATTGATAAGTAGGTTATAAGACTAAGCAAATAGAGTGTAATTCATAAACAATATTATATGCAGATTACTGATTGATTATTGTAATAGCATTGGTGTATTGATAAATATTTTTTTCTAATTAATTAGTTTCATAAACTTTAATATATTTATCAGATTAAATAAACAATATTATGTACCTACCTATCTATTACTTACATATGTTACAGTATTATTTTTATTATTTACTACTCATATAACTTTGGTGTTCAGCAACTTCGGCAAGTTTTTTAGTCGCAATCTAATAGCAGGGAACGTAAAATACTAATGACTCATTAGTAATGAGGATAAAAATGGGATTCATTGCTATT